CGCTCTCATTCCGGTAATATTGGGTCTATCTCTTCCTATTGATGAGTTCTGTCATGATGGAGTGGAAATGTAAGCGATTTTCTACGGCTATTGATCAGTTAGTGACTGAAAGAATGACCAGGTTATCGATTATAATAGTGCGAAATACCCTGTCGATCCTCAACCTTCTTCCTCTGGTGTGGGCACTCGTGACTCACGGTCGGTGGTTCCTCAACGTAAGTAGAAAACTATATTATTTTCGCGTGCCAGGCCTCTGAATTCAGTAATTGATGATAGTGTCAGTGGATTGTGATTTTATTTGCGCTCGTCGATCATTCGAGTAGTGTGATTAGTGAGGAATCATTTTCACCAGTGAAGCGTCGGTATGTCGATGCTGCATGCGCTGGGTTGTGTACCCTATGCTGTGCCCAGGGGACGGGAGTACCTCCGGGTATCATCCGTGCCCTACACGAGTTTTAGGTTGTGATAGTGGGATGAGGTGGCTAATCTTGGATTGGATAGACCACAGCATCTGTGGATGGTGTTTGTGGTGATGTAGTAGGGCCACCGCAGCGTGACTCACCAGCCCAGGGTGGGTCCCACGCTGCTGACTGGTTCAGTTCAAGGCTAAAGGTGAAGGGCAGCCTCCAAGCACACCACAACACAACACCGTCACAACACCAGCTATGATGTCAGTATCCACCAGCAAACACGTATGTGGGATTGGCAGCAAAATCCCAAATTTTGTTCCCAAGGCTCACCACTTTGATGACTCTCAAAGTGGAATTCTACCTATTGTCCCTTGGCACACGGGCCAACCGAATGAACTAGAATTCTTTTGAATTATTCTTTGGACCAGCCTTTGATGGAAAACTATTGGTCAAGGTGAAAGTAATATAGTATTTTGAGTACACCCATGGCAAATACAATCATTTCACCACAGTTCAAGATCTAAAAGGTGGAAAAGAGATGACTGTTGCAGAAATGTATTTGCTTTTGCAACAATAATGCTTTTGCCTCATGTCTCTAAGCATAATATAAAGCTTACTGGTCCACTAGATCGGCTAATCTTCCGGGTCTTCAGTGAAATCATTCCAGTGAAAAGGGGGGGTGTTTATAGTACTCTTAAGTATATGGCACTTCTCTGACCAAAACCAGGCATGACAGAAGTGACTGGTTATACAGAGATTAGAACTGTTTTCCATGTATCTCATACAATGTTCAGCATATAACTTTTATCCATTCAAGAAATCTTGTAATTGACGAGTCTTTGATTTTTTTCAAAGGTAGGCTGTCATTCAAGCAGTATAATACCGAGCTTGAGAAAACGCTTGCGTATTAAAAATGTTTGTACTCTGTGATTGTGACTAGTGGATGGTGGTTGATTATTGTTGTATACACGGGAAGTAATACATTGAAAGATACACAAGAGGTTATTGGTATCTCAGGAGGACATTGTGAAGAAACATGATGCACCTTATCTTGGTTAAGGGGCATACATTATATACTGATAACTGGTACACAAGCCCATTACTCAGTGATTTCATGCGATCGTGAACAAGACAGATGTGTGTGGCACAGTGGCAATTCTAAGCGGTAAACCATCTTGCCCAGGCTCAACGCAGGTGCTTGTGGTGATTGACGTTGCGGTGTTTACTGTCTATGACAATCATGGGCATTACGGTGGCATGACAAAAGAGATGTCACATTGTGACACCAATTCAACGTATGAATGCAAGACTGGCAAAGTTGACGAGTGACTAATTGAACGTATTCGAAAACCGAGTGACAGTAATTTGTTTATACACAAAACTGCGCTGGTTGACAAATGTGACATGCTGATGGTTTTTTTGACTGTGTTCGTAAAGAGTTACAAGTAGGTACATGAAACTTTTCTTCCACTACATAGTCATTTTCATTGCTCAATGCATATAATATGTACCAATAAAGACATGGCTACAGACCACCGTATGTGGGTGAATTTTGTTTGTCTGTTGTCCAGACAACTTTTTGTTTTTTCATAATGGAAGAGTACTCAGGTAAGAAACCTGCTATAACATCAAGGTCCTCGAATTACTCAGAAATTATACCCAAGCGTTTTGAGGAGGAAGGTGGGTGATCATTTATTAATACTAGCTTCCTTCAACTCAGAAGAAATTTTGCTTCAGAAGAGATGCATGTCTGGCACAAACAAAATGACGGCAACAAAGATGCAAAGACACTCGGTTTATGTAGTGACGGAAATGTAAGGTGCCTCTGTGCATGGTGCTTGTTTCAAGGGTTTCCACAAGCTCCAGCAGGTTCTAAAACCGTGTCCAGTGATTGTAAATATGTAATATATGATAGAAAATTAGTATTATCAAGATTTGAGATGGGTATTTCGTAAAAAAAACAGTGGTAAACCTTTAATATGATAATAAATTTAGTGCGGTTAATGTGTTCCAATACAGTGAGTTTAGATATACAGTGGACCCCCGCATAAGATTACCTTCCGAATGATGACCAATTATGTAAGTGTATTTATGTAAAGTGTGTTTGTACGTGTATGTTTGGGGGTTGAATGACGATTCTACTGTCACAATACTTAGTATGGGAACAAATTTCGGTCTGTTACTGGCACCTGATAAATCACTTCTGGAGTGAAAAATAATATCGTTAACGGTGGGTCCACTGTATTACATTATATACAGTATTGGTCTCTCAGGCCCCAAATTGTTAGTAGAGAATAGAAAGATATTGAGAAAAGAAAAGGATAAAAACTATAAATAAAACGTATTAATGTAATGCGACGTATGTGGAATTCGTCGATGTTTGCCGCCACCACATCATTTTGACCAAACTTCTTGGCACTGTTATCTCGGTAAGTACTGATCAGATATTTTTTTTTTTTTTGTCCTTATTACCTTCACAAAATTTGCTCTTTAATTATGTAAGAAAAAAATTATTTTTTTTTTTTTTCTAAGATTTCTTGGACATGGAGCACCACTTCAGATTTTGGACTTGGACCCATGGAAGGGTGTGAAAAAGAAGGGAAGTATACCCCAAAAAAGGACTTGCTACCTCAAGTTCCTAATGGAGGAGGGGGATTTCTTCTTGTAAGCTTACACCATCCACCTCTCCCCTACTCCCATCCCCATCAATCATCACCTGCATCTTCATTAAAGGTGTGTCATTTATTCTTTCGTTATTTATTGTTTTTATTGTTATGTGTTGTTATTGTAATTACTATTCGATTGCATTAAAAACTTATTTTTTCATGTGGAAAAGTTTTTTTGTTTATTACTTTGGGGTGTCTTGCGGCACGGATAATTAATTTGATTTCCATATATATCTATGGGGAAAATTGAATTCTCTTTGCGATATTTTTGGTTTACGATGGTAGCTTCAGGAATGGATTAGTATCAAGGAACCGGGGGTTCAACTGTAAAAGGAAAGTAATAGGAACCAAGAACTATTAAGATAAACACAAAGATAAATCAGATGAGTGTGTATAAATTAAATGTGTACATGTATGTGTAGTGTGACCTAAGTGTTAATTAAAAGTAGCAAGTCAGACCTGTATTCTTGCATATTTATTTGACAGACAAAAAAAAAATACCAGCATATTCTACCACTCTGTAAAAACAATTATAGGCTTTTGTTTTACATTTCACTTGGCAGGGTGGTTTGTACCTCCTCTGGGTGGTTGCGGTCTACTCCAACCTACTAGCTATACTAGGTACAACCATAAACACTATACGAAAATAGACCAGACAATGTCGGGCCATTTTAATTAAAAAAATGGTCGAGTTTTTTTTTCTCCATTGGGGCACTGGTGCTCCAGGATTTTTTTTTTTGGTGCACAGGACCACACAGACCCATTCTCTCACATGTGGGCCCTACCAGCTTTATCCTGCTTGGATTTGAGCCGCTAAAATTTATGAGATATAATACGTCAAGCACAGGTACCTAGTAAGACTTTTTTTTCTTTTTTTTTTTAACACCAAATAAAAAAAACTTGGACGATCCACCAAGGCAGGGTGGCCAAAAAAAAAGAATAACTTTCACCCATTTATTTCACTCCATCACTGTATTGCCAGAGGGGTGCCTTACCCTTACATGTTTTTAATATCTGCAAACATTATTAACACCTCTCCTTCAGGAGTGCAGGCACCTGTACTCTCCCTTCTCCAAGGACTCAGTTCCGGCCTGGCCGGTTTCCCTGATTCCACTTCCATAAATGGTTTAATTGCTCTCACTCCAACAGCTTGTTCTACAGTCATTATTTATTCATTTTGTCGCCATTCTCTACTATCCAACACGCTCACGCAAGCCCTGCTGGAAGTCAAGCCCCTCGCACAACAAAAACCTCCTTTACCCCTCCTCAACCTTTTCCTAGACCGTACCCCTACCCCGCCTTCCTTCAATACAGACTGATACACTCTTGAAGTCTTCTGTTTCAATCCATTCTCTCTACATGTCTGAACCACCTAACATAACCCTTCCTCAGCCCTCGGACAACAGTTTTGGTATTCCCGACCTCCTCTAACTTTCCAATACTAAGAATTCTTGCATTATAGTATTCACACCCACTCATTGCCCTCAGGACATGAAATCTTCCACTGACTCCAACCTTCTCCTCGCTGCAACATTCATCACCCATGCTTCACACACCATATAAGTGCGTTGTTATAAAACTATATCTCATACATTCACCTCTTTGCCTCCAAGGACAAAGTTCTTTGTCTCCACAGGCTCCTAAGGGACTCTGCTCACCCTTTTCCCTCATCATTCTATGATTCACCTCATTTTCATAGACCATCCACTGACTCGTTCCACTCCCAATAATCTGATACTTTCACCTCCTCCATACTCTCTCCCTCCAATCTGATATCCAATCTTTCATACCTAATCTTTTTGTTTCTCATAACCTTGCTCGTTCCTATATTCACTTTCTAAGCATATATATAATGGACCGAAACAGTCATAGGGTTATATAAAGTAAAAACTCACTTACTAGCTCGTAAGGAGTTCAGGCACACCTTCTTTATTTTCTTCTATGGAGCCCAATATCGAAGATAATTTATAATAGCAGCACGTTTGGCGCCAGACAGCCCCCATCCATGTTGAAGCGCTCTTTTTATTTGTGGGAGTAAAGCCTGCAATAACAAAAATGGCAATATTTTTATGTCAATTTACATTTTGTAGTCTGGTTTATGTTTAGACACCATCAAAATAACCATTTGGGTTTATGCATGAATTATTGTTCTTGTGATGATGAGGTAAAGGGAGTGATAAGGGAAGAAAAAGTCTGTACATAAGGTTTTTTGAATGTATTATAAGTGCATAAAGAAGGGTGGATTTTTAGAGAGTAAAAGAGAGCAATTGACAGACGTGGCGGAAGTGTTGTCAACAAATTATGCTGAGAATAAGAACAATGGCGGCGAAGTGGGGATGTCGAGGTGGTTGGTCATTTAGAGAGTAGGGAAGCAAAAGTAGAATGGACTTGGACGACTTGGGGGGCATAAAATCCTGTTGGGGAAGGGAAGGCAGGGTAGGGGTCATCTTGAAAAGGTTGGAGGTGAGGGTGTTAAACGAGGTTTTGTGGGCGAGGGGCTCTTGGGATTCCAGCAAGCGTGCGATGAGCATGTTAGGAGTGAATAGAGCTATGTTTTTGGGACCTGGACAAGCTGCTGGAGTGTGAGCAGGGTTGGTAATATTCATGGAAGGAATTTCGGGAAACCAGTTAGCCGGACTCGAGTACTGGATGGTGGGTGGTACAATGCCCTGCACTTTAAAGAGGGGAGTTTGGGGATATTTAATCGGCAGTTTTGGAGGGACATCTATAACTGTTTGGTATCGGATTACCTCTCGCAAAGAGTGTATATGCTGTGATTGAATGGTGAAAATGTTGAATGTGTGATAGTTTTGGAGATTAATGGGATGAAAAGCCTAGGATACAAATGGCTCTGACAGGTAAAATAGTGGAGTTAATAGATGCAGAGTTTGGGGGTATCGGGAAGATGGTGAGTATATTTTGAGGAATGTTATTTTGATGAAGAGAGGGAGGCCATGATTTCATTGCATTGGGCCAGGGGAGGTTTAACATCTTTCAGGAGTGAAGAAGAGCCAGATGTGAGTGTTGGGAGGTGCATGAGGAACTGCGTTAAGAATGGACAAGGGGGTTTTAAAGCATCTAGGATTGATGGGATCATGGACAAATGTTAAAAGCAGGTGGGGAGATATAGTTTTGGAGTGGTTAGTATTTTTGTTCGATATAATGTATTGAAAGAAAGGAAAGATACCTTGACATGGCAGGAAAGTATACATAGTTCCTTTATATAAAAGGGGGGGAAGGGGGACAAAAAAAAAAAAAGTAAAAATTATAGGGAGTAAGCCTATTGAGTATACCAGGTAAGGTGTGTATGGTAGGGTTATTACTGGAAACATAAACGCATATGCAGTTTAATGTCCCCCCCCCCCCCCCCCCCCCCCCCCTTGATCTTTATTGAACAACGTTTCACCCACACAGTGGACTTTTTCAAGTCACACACAGATCTACCTGGAGGTGGAGGTAAGGGAGTATTTTTTAGTCATGTTCAGAATGTTGAGGTCAGGTGGAGGAATGCCGCATCGTGTATCTTCCGTGGTGGGTTATAGAGTCTTGGGTAGCTTGGCCAGGGGTATTGGATAGTTGTGAGTAGACCTCTGCAGTGTTATATGTTTTTATGTGGGATAGGGATGTAAGAAGATTGTTGGCGAAGTGGGCTTCAGCGATGTTGTACAATCGCTAATTCACCACAAACCATTTAGTAACTACAAAAACTCAAGACAACACTCAATACGAAGAATCCTGGAATCATCGCTTATCTCTATAACCAACAATTTCAACCAGAACAACGGCATTCTATAACATAGCTGAACCACTCGCCAAGAAACTTTCCTTCTCAAAAAAAATTTTCGGGGGCATTATCCCACATATGAACATAGAACAACTGCAGTAAGGTCTACTCACAACTTGGTCCAATAATCCCTGCCCCCAAGCTACCAAGGACTCGCTACAACCCCACCCAGGTTGATCAATCACGATGCGGCATCTCCACCTGGACTCCATTTCTGAACATGACTATAAATTACTGACCAGTACCTTCCACCGGGTAGATGCTGTGTGTGACTTGAAAAAGCCACTGTGTGGGTGAAATGTTGTCAATAAGCGGATCACATTAAACACGATATGTGTTTATGTTTCATTGTGGCGGTATTTTATACATTATTTTCTGGGTTATTACTGAAAGGAATTAAGGGTAAGGCAGAGAGCAGGACTGCAGTTGAACAAGGAGGCTTTAGAATGGGTGGGGTGTGTAGACCAAAGTGTTTTACATTGAAACACATAAATGAACAATAGTTTAGATAAAGGTAGCAAGTTTTCATTGATTTTTAGGATTTAGAAATGATCACGATAAGGTCTTGGCAGTAGGTTGGTAGACAGGCAAACACCCAGAGGATGTACTACGTCCTGCCAGAAGTGAGTGTAAAATGGAAACCTGTTAATTGCTTTATGTTATGGTTTGGATTGTGGTGTCGATTTTCTGTCTTCTACTTAACTTAGATCACACTACACATGCTTGTACAAACATATATACCACACCCTCTGGGTTTTCTTGTACTTTCTTACTAGTGGTCTGTTTATTTCCATTTATCTCAGGTGGGGAGGTGGAACAGAATCTTCCTCTATTAAGCCAGCGTGTGTCGCACGAGGTGACTAAAATTGCAGGGCTTAGTAGCCCCTTTCTCTGTATACATTATTCTTTTGGGCCACCCTGCACTTAGGTGGGATATGGCACGTTTGTTGAAAGAAGCACTGTGCAGGTGTTGATAAGTGTTTGGATTGGTGGTAGTTATTAAATGCTGTTATAAGTGTTTCTTGTTCATGAACATAGTGAGGCTCAGGTTAGGTATGTAGGAGAGAGGGAGGTTACTGTCCAGTAAAAGTATGGCCTTTAGACAGGGATGCGTGATGTCACCATGTTTACATTATTTATAGATGGATTGTAAATGAAGTAAAATTCTAGGGTGTTGGGGAGAGGGGGGTGAGATTAAAATACTGCAGAATCCAATACAAAATGGGAGTTGGCAGAGTTAAGTTTTGCTGATAGTACTGTGCTTTTGGGCTATCTGAAGAGAATTTGCAAAGCTTAGTGGAAAGTTTGGGGGGTGTGTATGTAACAGGAAGTTGAAAATAAAATACAGATATAAAGTAAGGTGATGAGGGAAATCAATGATGTTAGGGAAAAAACTGGGTATCAGATTGGAGGGAAGGAGTATGGAGGGAAGTAATGTGTTCGGGTATTTGGGAGGTGGGACGTGTCAGTTGATGGGTACATGACGATGAGGTATACCATAGAACTGATGATGGAAATAGGTTGGGTGGTTGCAATGAGGTAGCTGAGGAGACTAAAAAAATGTAATCATGGAGGCATGAGAGTTGTAGTGGTACCAACACTCATTTAATGGGTGTGAAAGCGTAGGCTGTAAATGTTGCAGTGAGTAGGGAATGAGGGGGGGCATTGGAGAGATGATGTTGTCTGTAGGGCAATGTAAGGCATAAACTATTATGCAGAGACTTTGTGGAGATATGAGGAGGGCTTACGACGTGGTTGTTGAGGTGATTTGGTCATTCATGACAGTATGGGAGCAAAAATAGATGATTGGAGGGTGTATAAATATGTAGTGGTGGAAGCAGGGTAGAGGTCATCTAGGAAAGAATGGAGGTGGGGTAAAGGTGAGGTTTTGTGCACAAGGGGCTTGGACCACACAGCGGTATATGTGAGAAGTTAGATTGGAGTGAGTGGAGACAAAGTTTGTTTTGGAACCGGATGAGCTGTTTGAGAGTATGAGGTATATTTTGTGAAGGGAATTCAGGGAAGTACAGTGCCTGCACTTAAAGGAGGGAGTTTGAGATATTTGCTGTTTAGAGGGACATCTAAATGTTGTATCTGACGGCCTCTTTCAGAGGCGTGCAATTTAGATGTAAATGATGGTAAGTGTCTCTTATTTGGGTCACCTTGCTTCAGTGAGGAGACTGCCAGATGTAACAAAAAATTCATTATTAATACAAGGGGAAGTGCTAAAATCCGTTAAGGTCATATGAGCGCCAGGAGGGGATAATGGGAGGCAATCATGCTCATACAAAGGAGAATGATTGGTCAATTCACTTGCATTATAAGTCCCTCACATGAATCTATTGAAGACAAGCGAGTCAGGTTTTATGGCAATATGTTGGAATTTACAGGGACCAACAAACAGCTTTATCGGTCTCTGTTGAAGATGGAACATTAAACTCAGCTAAATCGCCATAAAAGCTGCGTGGTTGTGGGAAGTAAATGTTTTGGTTAGCCTGCTGTAAAATGCACTTTGAATATAATTATTTATGAATGAGAAGCTGCCATAGTTTCAAATGGCTGGTGAGGAGAAAGTAATATGTAGTAGAACTACCTCTGTTAAAATATTGGCTCTCTAAAGTGGTCTTGACTACTATCTCAAGAAGCATCTGAAATCCCATTCATATTGGAAATTATAATTGTTGGTGTACACTGCAGTAGCATGTAGCATAACTGAAGTGTTCGAGAGTGAATGAAGTTCATAGTAGAAATTTAAATAACTAAAGACACAAGAGCTAAAGGCAGGAAAAAAATCATATATTTCCATGCATTTACTGTACTGGTGCCTGGTAACTAATATCACAGATGTGTAAGGGTAGGCAGCAGCCAGAATGACTCCTCTCTCATTCTCTCTTATTTACCTCAACCCTCTCACAAACATCATCTAATATAATACTTTCTTTAATACATTTGCTCACTACTTTACACTGCAGTGGAATGAGTGTATTTACGGAGAAGTGGGTCGAGTGATGTGGAGGGATGGGCTGCAGCTGGCTTGCCACTCCCTCTCTTATTTCCTATTCATGCCAACATTGCAACATAACTCAAGACTTTGCAAAGGCCAACACCATTCCCTCACCATTTATGGTGAGGTTTCAGGTCTCTGGAGTTATGTTGTATGGGAGTTAGTTGGTGAGGATAATTGTCAGAAGAGGGTGTGGC